AGCCCCGTCGTTTTCTACCCCGGCTTTTCCTCAAGAGCGTGCGGCTGTTCCGGGCCCCGGATGGACGGTGTGCTATCGGCTCCCGGAAAAAACCTGCCGCGCTGCGGGCGTTATGTGAGCGGCGCGGTGCTGCAAGTCGCTGCGAGCGCATGGCGCCGGGTCTCTGGGGTTTTCCTGAAGTCTGCGGTGCCCTTGGAGGACATTACATAACATTAATGCGGAGAGAGAGAGATCACAGGGACCGTATAACATTATCATGCAGCGCGTCCTCCGACAGAACGTTTTATGTACGGAGCGCGTCGTCCGTGGCGACGTACGCTGCCGGCAGTCACGGGGGTACCCTAAATTCTGCAGGGCGCTCGCCCCATGGCCCAAGGTGATAAAACGAGGCTGGATACATTTATATAACCCGCAACGGAAACATTTTATTATCAACAAACACATTTCTTCCTGCGGGTATAACAATGCATGCAGAGTTCAGGAGCCATTCAGTCTGATCTCGACGACGACTTCCATGCATCCTCTGGCTGTGCTTTGAGGTCCGTTCTCTACTCGCACCCCCAAAAAAACTGCAGGCCGCACACTGCTATGTTTTTTTTCTTTCATTTCAGTAAACTTTATTGAAACAGCTACATTCCCCCCGCCGGACATGACGCGTTTCGCCCTCAATCAGGGCCTAATCATAGGGTTCAGTTGAAAAATGCAGTAGGGTCACAGCCCGACCATATGTGCGTCAGACATTTGTGAGCACAGCCAAGAACTGCACAGGCACCAGGGTTGACATGATTGCGTCATATCTGAGCTGCCATCTCAGTCTAGGAAGTAGGTGGTGACCCCCGGATGATGCCTGAACAAAGATGGAGCCGCCCTGGAGAGAAAAGCAGATGAAGGCATTGTCAGGGGGAGTCATGTGAACCCTGTGAGAGGTAATAAATACCTGGAAGGGTCACATGACACAATACTGAGCCTGCCGCACCACACATGAAAAATGATGTCTGATGACAGGTCCACTTTAACAAGTGCTGGACCGCAGCTGTATCTAGAAGCAAAGGCCTTGCAGCACTGGGGTGTCCCCGGTTCAAATACTGGTCAGGACACTATCTGCATGGAGTTTGCATGCTCTCTCTGTGCTGTGCGGGTTTCCTCCGGGTACTGCGGTTTCCTCCCACACTCCAAAGACACACTGGGAGGTTAATTGGCCCCAGCACGTGTGTGCATGTATGTGACCTGAGGGTGTAAGGGTCTGATGTGAATGTGCAGCATGCAAAGTGCCGGGTAAATTGTTGTCACCGAGGGCCCGTTCACTCCATCGTGTTACAAAACCCTCATGCGTTTTCCTCCAAGTGTATAACGCATTGTTAGCACAGAACGCAGGAAGCGGTTTATGTGCCTTTTACATGAATGTTCTTGGAGTCAGGGGTCATACTGCAGGTATTATGGTAAGGTCTCAGTACTGGGGTCCTGTGTCATGGGTCATACTGCAGGTATTAGGGTAAGGTCTCAGTACCGGGGTCCTATGTCAGGGGTTATACTGCAGGTATTATGGTAAGGTCTCAGTACTGGGGTCCTGTGTCAGGGGTTATATTGCAGGTATTACGGTAAGGTCTCAGTACTGGGGTCCTATGTCAGGGGTTATATTGTAGGTATTACGGTAAGGTCTCAGTACTGGGGTCCTGTGTCAGGGGTTATACTGCAGGTATTACGGTAAGGTCTCAGTATTGGGGTCCTGTGTCAGGGGTCATACTGCAGGTATTACGGTAAGGTCTCAGTCCCGGGGTCCTATGTCAGGGGTTACACTGCAGGTATTACGGTATGGGGTTATATTGTAGGTATTACGGTAAGGTCTCAGTACTGGGGTCCTGTGTCAGGGGTTATATTGCAGGTATTACGGTAAGGTCTCAGTACTGGGGTCCTATGTCAGGGGTTATATTGTAGGTATTACGGTAAGGTCTCAGTACTGGGGTCCTGTGTCAGGGGTTATACTGCAGGTATTACGGTAAGGTCTCAGTATTGGGGTCCTGTGTCAGGGGTCATACTGCAGGTATTACGGTAAGGTCTCAGTCCCGGGGTCCTATGTCAGGGGTTACACTGCAGGTATTACGGTAAGTTCTCAGTATTGGGGTCCTGTGTCAGGGGTTATACTGCAGGTATTACGGTAAGGTCTCAGTACTGGGGTCCTGTGTCAGGGATCACACTGCAGGTATTACGGTAAGGTCTCAGTACTGGGGTCCTGTGTCAGGGGTTATACTGCAGGTATTACGGTAAGGTCTCAGTACTGGGGTCCTGTGTCAGGGATCACACTGCAGGTATTACGGTAAGGTCTCAGTACTGGGGTCCTGTGTCAGGGATCACACTGCAGGTATTACGGTAAGGTCTCAGTACTGGGGTCCTGTGTCAGGGGTTATACTGCAGGTATTACGGTAAGGTCTCAGTACTGGGGTCCTGTGTCAGGGATCACACTGCAGGTATTACGGTAAGGTCTCAGTACTGGGGTCCTGTGTCAGGGATCACACTGTAGGTATTACGGTAAGGTCTCAGTACTGGGGTCCTGTGTCAGGGGTTATACTACAGGTATTACTGTAAGGTCTCAGTACTGGGGTCCTGTGTCAGGGGTTATACTACAGGTATTACGGTAAGGTCTCAGTATTGGGGTCCTGTGTAAGGGGTCACACTGTAGGTACTGGCATGCATGTGATCCAGTCCTCCAATTCACATTCTGGGGGGGGGGAGGGGCTTATACTGGGGATGTAGCACATGTTTTGGGGTGCCAGGGAGACAGGACCGGTTTGCATATTCTGGGATACACCGGCGTTGTAGCACATTCACCGGGGGGTGTGAACCTGCAGAGAATGATACACACGGAGCCTGTGCCTGACGCAGAGGACGGGGAACATTGTTACTTTGTCTAGTTATGTCTACACATCATTTCTGTTGTTCTTTGTAGCCTGAAACGTGTCGGCAGCGCGATCAATAACGTCTTCTGTAAATCTCTAATCGATCTCCCCATGGACGGACTCTTCAGCTCATCTCCTGACGGGTCTCCGAGAGGATTGCCAGGCTTCAGGAACCAGCCCGGGCCCGCGAGTCCCAAATCTCGGCCCACGAGTCCCGAATCTCGGCCCACGAGTCCCGAATCTCGGCCCACGAGTCCCGAATCTCGGCCCACGAGTCCCGAATCTCGGCCCACGAGTCCCGAATCTCGGCCCACGAGTCCCGAATCTCGGCCCACGAGTCCCGAATCTCGGCCCACGAGTCCCGAATCTCGGCCCACGAGTCCCGAATCTCGGCCCACGAGTCCCGAATCTCGGCCCACGAGTCCCGAATCTCGGCCCACGAGTCCCGAATCTCGGCCCACGAGTCCCGAATCTCGGCCCACGAGTCCCGAATCTCGGCCCACGAGTCCCGAATCTCGGCCCACGAGTCCCGAATCTCGGCCCACGAGTCCCGAATCTCGGCCCACGAGTCCCGAATCTCGGCCCACGAGTCCCGAATCTCGGCCCACGAGTCCCGAATCTCGGCCCACGAGTCCCGAATCTCGGCCCACGAGTCCCGAATCTCGGCCCACGAGTCCCGAATCTCGGCCCACGAGTCCCGAATCTCGGCCCACGAGTCCCGAATCTCGGCCCACGAGTCCCGAATCTCGGCCCACGAGTCCCGAATCTCGGCCCACGAGTCCCGAATCTCGGCCCACGAGTCCCGAATCTCGGCCCACGAGTCCCGAATCTCGGCCCACGAGTCCCGAATCTCGGCCCACGAGTCCCGAATCTCGGCCCACGAGTCCCGAATCTCGGCCCACGAGTCCCGAATCTCGGCCCACGAGTCCCGAATCTCGGCCCACGAGTCCCGAATCTCGGCCCACGAGTCCCGAATCTCGGCCCACGAGTCCCGAATCTCGGCCCACGAGTCCCGAATCTCGGCCCACGAGTCCCGAATCTCGGCCCACGAGTCCCGAATCTCGGCCCACGAGTCCCGAATCTCGGCCCACGAGTCCCGAATCTCGGCCCACGAGTCCCGAATCTCGGCCCACGAGTCCCGAATCTCGGCCCACGAGTCCCGAATCTCGGCCCACGAGTCCCGAATCTCGGCCCACGAGTCCCAAATCTCGGCCCACGAGTCCCAAATCTCGGCCCACGAGTCCCAAATCTCGGCCCACGAGTCCCAAATCTCGGCCCACGAGTCCCAAATCTCGGCCCACGAGTCCCAAATCTCGGCCCCCGAGTCCCAAATCTCGGCCCCCGAGTCCCAAATCTCGGCCCCCGAGTCCCAAATCTCGGCCCCCGAGTCCCAAATCTCGGCCCCCGAGTCCCAAATCTCGGCCCCCGAGTCCCAAATCTCGGCCCCCGAGTCCCAAATCTCGGCCCCCGAGTCCCAAATCTCGGCCCCCGAGTCCCAAATCTCGGCCCGCGAGTCCCAAATCTCGGCAGATAAAACGCCGCGCTGACTCGGGCTGGG